ATTAAGGATTTTTGTTTATTTTTTCCGTATATATTTTTCTTCATACTGTCGGATTTATATCTATATATTTGCTTATATATATATATATATATATATATATGTGATAGGATAAAGAACAAGAAAAAAACATATTTCACTTTATTAATGCTTCGTCGAAGATCAAGATAGAAATGATACAAAAATGACAAAAAGCAAAGAGACACAGCAAAAAATCTGAAAAAAAAATCTAAAAAAATCTAAAAAAATAAAAAAAACCTAAAAAATAAAAAAAATCTAAAAAAATCTAAAAAAAATCTAACATGTTTCACTTTATAAAAGCTTCTGACGAAAATGTTTGATTAAGATTTGTTTCTAACTTGTACTTTATCGTATCATTTTGTCGGATTCCTATCTATACTCGATCTATCTATCTATCTATTGTGGATTCCGGGTTGAAATCTGGTACCAATAAATAACCAACGCCAGGAATGAATATATGAAAATAATGTACTGGTAAAGCAGGTTAGTAGTTCCAGGAATACAGGTTAGTAGCAAAATATATATATACAGTCTTTGGTATTGAAGTATCGCTGTATGACTTCTTACTGAGTCTACGTGCTCGCTCACAGTGACTCCTACAAAGCTGTTACCTCACCCCTCACTTATCCGGTTACCTACAACCTTTTACTCTGTCACTCTGGACTCGACTCTTCGGTCTTGCTCTGTCTCGGGTCTTCACGTAGCCGCAGTATATGTATATACTGGGTGTGTCCATTTGTGTAAAAAGGGGTGGACCCCTCAACATTATATATATATATATATATATATATATATATATAATTAATACAAGTAAAAGGTTTGTCACTCATCTGATTGATATTACCTTCAGCATCCCGACGCCAGAATTTCGTAAACGGACCCTTCAGGAATCACTCGTAAAAGCGTATCAGCAATTGACTGTTTATAATTTATCGCTTTTTCTTTTCATATGCACTTTTCATTGGTGCCAGTTTTCTCTTTCATGGTGTATGTGTGCGTGCATCTGGGCGTTCGTGCGCGCGCGTCCACGTGCGTCCACGTTCGTGCGCGCGCGTCCACGTTCGTGCGCGCGCGTCCACGTTCGTGCGTGTAAAATCTTGTAGTTATTTGTCCTTTTCATCTTTTTTTTTTTCACTTTACTTTTTCTCTCTTGCCAGGTGTGTATTTGAAACACGGTATCCACTAAAAATAACGCTTGAAGTAATAATAAAAGAAAAGAAAAACCACCCACTGCTCCTTTCCACTCGCTAGTCCGAAGGTATTTCCAGCCAATGGGGTGTTCGGACGGGACTTTTTTTTTTTATAAGCCTTGTTTCTGATTATAGCGATGCTCTGTCTGGTTTAGGCTAATAAAAATAAATATTTTGGAGAAAAGAAAGGATTGAGAAGTGAGTAGCTTCATTGGATTATTTTCAACCAATCTAAAACTACAATCTAAAAATACAAAATAAAACTCGGTTTTGATGTTATCAAAAACTAGCCAAATCTAATTTGAAAACGGGTGCGGTTTGACTGGTTAGTGATTCTAGATTTTTGTTTTAACCAACGGGGATAAAAGTGTTACGCCCCGTAAGCAACTGAACTTTGAGCCGGTTTTGAACCAAATGTTTGTGATATCAGAGGAGAAATTTTGACCGCAATGTCAAAAGGGATTAGACCTCATCCGGACATGTAGATGTGATCTGGGCAGAAAGTATTGACCGTCTCGGCGTGTAAAGTCATCTGCTGCTACTGCCGCGAAAGAATTTGACCACCCGGGCAAGAAAGCTGTGACTTGGGATGATAAAAAAAAAAAAAAAAAAAAATGTAGTTACTATTACTACTGTTGCTGGTTAAAGAAGAAGTACAAGAACCATTAAAAAGCTACGAGAATTCTCTTTACAAAGAGTGTCATTTCTAAAATTAGTTTTTTCTAAACCTGTAAGTGTTTATCTCATATTTGAGAACGCCTGTTTCGAATCCCTGAATATTTTGCTTTAAAGGACCACGAGATTGTTAACTTTTCGAAGTAAGTAAATTTATTTTGTTCGAAGAAATTGATTTATATATATATATATATATATATATATATATATATATATATATATATATATATATATATATGTTAAGCGGTTACTCTAAAAGAAAGTTATTAAAATTTCTTTGTTCTTAATGGAAAAATTGTTTCTCATGGATTGTTGTTTTCTAAGTGGAAAAAAAAATGGTTTGTATTTTGAAAGGACTGTTAACTTGACTTGATACTGTTAGGCGCACACGGGAAATTTTGTGCAAGGCCAATATTGTATTTTGTACAATTTATATATTGTAAAAATATTGTTGCCATTCTATTAAATGTTTGTTTCTTTACAAATTTGACTTTGAGAAAGAGTCGTCTTTTTGTCGAAGGATATGGCAATTAACTTCCTCTTCCTCCTCCCCCTCGCCTTCTCCATCTTTCATTTCTTCTTTTTAATATTTTGTACATGGGGAAAATCTCCATATTTTTTTTAATCAATCCACTCCAAGCAAATCAATAATGCCACTAAGAATCAAGGGGTTACTGAGTGTGAAACAATGCATTCTATGAGCTACAAAATTTAGATCTAAAAAAAACATAACTTTACCTTGAAAGCATAAAACTATGTAAATATATCTGCAGTTGAAAGCATAAAATTACATACAAAATATTTAGATTTCGGTATTAAATAACCGATAAAGGTTGATATGCCGCTAAACAAAACCAACCAAGCAAAACCTAGAAAAATACTTAGATTTTGGCATTAAATAACCCATAGAGTTTGATATGCCGCTAAACAAAAGTAACCAAATCAAACCAATCAAAATATTTAGATTTCGGTATTAAATAACCCATAAAGGTTGATATGATGCTAAACAAAATCAATCAACCAACAGAGATCGTTAGTTCGAGAAGTCATAAAGAGTCATTCTCCTAGAGTCTAGAATCAGCCATGCTGATAGAAGTCAGAAAGGGTCTCTATATTAAATAAATGACTAACTTTGTCTTCTTGGCCTTAGTCTATGACAATATTTATTGAGCTTCGAGTTTGTCTCATTAGTGCCATTAATTTTTAAAATAATTAAGAAAACTTCATCTTTCTTTACTGAATGTTTGATTGAAAATGTTTTTTACTGAAATAACATATCCAGGTTATTACTGAAAGTTTTTACTGAAATTAATGTTTTTTACTGAAAAATGTTTTTTACTGAAAAATGTTTTTTTACTGAAATAACAATATTCATGTTTTTACTAAATGTTCTTACTGTAATGAATGTTTTTTACTGAAATAACAAGCATGTTTTTACTGAATGTTTTTTTTTTTATTGAAATGAATGTTTTTACCGAATGTTTTTACTGAAATTGTTTTGTTTTTTTTACTGAAATAACATGTCGATGAAATTTTCTCTATAAAACAATTGTACGGATGGTGTAAAAGATAGCAGCTCAAAATTAGAAATGGGAGAGCCGAGTTCGAATTCCATTCGTCTTCGTTGCATTCACTTAAGCGCAAAATCTTTTGAGAATGTTATGAATTCATCTCTTCTTCTCTCCAAGCTATGAATTAAATAGTAAGACATAAAACTTTAAAAGTCGTTGTTATCTTAAAGAAACAATTGTTAATGTAATATTCATTCGCAAAAAAAGTTATTTCTCTAGAATAATCCCAAATATGTCTCGGGTTTAAATAACTCATAAAGTGTTGATAAGCCGTAAAAAATAAATAATTCTTTTTATAAAACTAAGAAATATTTATGATGAAAGTACAATTTTAAACTTAATCACGATGTGTCAAAACATCAGGTGTATCTGACACTCCTCTCCCCAAAAATGTTTTCTAATAAAATAACCAGTTAAAATTAAATAATTAATTAATTAATATTGAAAATTTAATTTAAATCGAGCCAATGACTGAGGGTAGCTTTTTTATTTGTATTTTTTAATTTTATTTTTAAGGGAAAAAACGCATGTACTTTGTTTTATACTAGCATTTAAAATTGAAAAAAAAAATTAAATTGAAAATTAAAGAAAAAATTAAATTGAAAATTGAAAAAAAAATTAAATTTAAAAATTGAAAAAATATCTCAGTCGAAAACTGAAAAAAAGATTTTAATTAAAAAAATAACGCATGATAGTAAGATCTAAAAAAATAAAAGAAATATAAAAAAAATATTCATCTCAAAAACAGGATCAGATAAAAACAAAAACAAAAAATAAAAAATGAAAACTTAGGGACCTTTAAAACATAACGTCTGACGTAATCCCTCTCTTTTTAACATATGATTTAGAATTCTGACGTTTTATTTTGTGGCACGGTGCCTGCTATAAAAAAAAAAAAAAGAAAAAAAATGACATTGATCCTGGTTCCCTGATTAAGGTTGAGTCAGAGATCTTAGCAAGTCAAAAACATTAATTTCCTTTTTAGTGAATACTTCTTTTTTTCTTTTCTTTTTTTTTTAACCTCCTTCAACTGTATTTTTAAATCAGCTAAAAAAAACTCTAAACGAAACCTATATTCGTCAAGCGAAAATAATTATTTGCCGCGAATTTTAAATTTCAAAACAAGATCGCTTAAGGGTGAAAAAAAAGTCCTCTCTTTAATTCTAAAACCGCTAAAGTCAGCATTTCATCTCTTCTTTGTTTCTTTTATTTTCTGTTTTTGTTAATGAATTGAACCGGCATTTATCATTTTTTAAAGTAAACACTTTCATAATTTATGAATATTGTGAACTTTAAACTAAGCAACAAACAGTATTGACCACTTGTAGAGGAGAAAGTTTGTTTGTTTTTTGTTCGAACTCACCTTTTTTTACACCACTTTCAAACTAATTTATAATAAATAAATAAATTAAATAATTTATTTTTCATTTTTTCTCAAATCAAATGAAATTCGTCAAACCAGCATTACAACATTTTTACAAATATTTACTGACTACTTCGTTGTTTTAGGTCAAAGAGTTTACGGATATGTCACATTCAAATACGGTGTTCCCGTACGAACACCGAAGTTAAGCAACGTCTGGCTTGGTCAGAATCTAGATGGGTAACCACTTGGGAATATCAGGTGCTGTAAGACGTGCGGGTGGGGTAGATGGATAATGGCTCGGAATTGCTAAAGTTCCAATACCAGTTGGGTTAGTTATATTCACAAAGGTATATAATTCCACCTCTTATCCCCTCCAGCTATGGGTTAATTAGTAATACTTGTATCACTAAATTGTTATTATCTGAAAAAATTCTCACAATCTATTCTAAAAGTATTTTCTGACTTATAATCTGCAAAGAGTTGATAAGCTGGAGAGAAAAAAACGAATCATTAAAAAAAACTTTATTTTTGTTTTAAAGTTTTATTTTGATTTATTAAGTTTTTTAACAACACCCTCCATGCTAGTAAGTAATAGATATTAATAAATTATTTAATCTCGTAAAATATACTTTAATTACGATTTTGTTGTATTATTTAAAATTTTTAATAACTAGTATTTATTTTTTTTAAATAAATCGAGTTTTATTGTTATTGTTTTACATTTTTTAAAAAAATCAGAATTTCCCTGTGTATAACTAGTTTTTTAAATCGATTGTAAGCTTAAGCACCATCAGCACTTAAAAGCTGATAAATTATTAGTTTATTTTATCCTATTTTTATTTTATTTTTAATTTATTTTATTTTAACAAACAGGTATAAATTTCGACCGACCTGTTACCAGTCGCCACCGTTTTTTTTTTTTTGGTTTTTTTTTTTAATAATTGTTCAAACGGCCGACGCCGGGCGGTTAGGAAACCGGAAGGAAGTGGTCGGTGCGCGATCATTGCGCATGCTCATAAGGAATCACAATGAGTGTTACCCGCAATGCCCGGAATTTTCAGTTATATGGTTAGTCGCTGAGACAGTTCTTGTCTCTAATTTTTATGTCTTACCCGGAACTTCTTTTCTTTTTTTTTTTAACATATATACCGTGTGAAATTTACCTACTTTAGGACAGCGGTTGTTACCCCATTTAATCACAGCAATAACCAAGTAAGTACACATTTACTTACAACAGACACACGATCACACACGCACGCATTTCTTCAACAAGGCAGCATTAGTGCGGCCAATAAATGGGGGGCCGGTTTAGCAAATAGATTCATTAAATATTGCTCCCCCATTTTTTGACGACCTTTTTCTCTTCTCTCTCTCTTTATAATCGGAATTGATATATTAAAAATAAAAATAAAATTAGTTAAATATTTGGTGAAACCGACTTTTTATGTAATTTTAAAAAAAGGAATATATATTTTTTATTTTTTTTTTTTAATAAAATGTCTGGAATTTTAAAGCTAAATTTATTATGTCTGTCCATCATCGCGATCTTTTTTGTTTTCCTTATTTATGACTTAACATGTTTGTTAAATTTGTTATTTGATTTTGTCCGCTATGATTCTCAATTCGAAAAAACTAGTCTGATAAATAAATAATCGAGGAACTAAAATATGTACTTTAAGTACAGTACTTTATTATCTCCTCCAAATTGAAGGAGAGAAAGAACTATTAAATTTAAAAGAACAAACAGATTATTTAATTACGTCTTTTTCTGGGAAAACACGTATATATATATATTATAAAGTTTATAAATATACTCTTTGCTTCTAACGTTTCAAAGATAACATTGAATCTCAATTAAAATAAATAAACAATATCTAAACCAGCTGGGAATGGCCTTTTTTGCTCTTGTTTTTTTTTAACGACATGCATGTTAAACACAAAGATACACATGACCAACTCTACGTTTTCTACAGTTGTCAGTATTTCATCCTTTGTCAGTTTTCCCCCAAAAATTAAAAATATACACGCTTTAAGACTTATATATATATATTTTTAATCTAGGGTTTTGAAAATGTCATACACATGTTTATAAAAGTAGAAACATACACGCATATGACATCGATCAGAGGAAATATTGAATCTGAAAGGAAATTGACATTTGAACAAAAATCAATCAATAAGACTTTTTAAGTGCTTTTGTGAATAACTTGCATCCCTGAGATATTTATAGGGCATTACTTAGGGAAAAAGGTTCTGTTTTCTATTTAAATTTGATGTCTATTTTTAAGTTTAAACAATAATTTTTATTTATAAAAAAAAAAAATAACTTTTAGTTTCAATTTTATTTCTTTTTAGCTTTACTCTGATTTCGATCTTAAAGTTGACAATTTAACTACATAAAAATTTACCTTTCGCATGATTCCTTAACAAATTAGAGGTGAACAACCTTTTTTTGTTGAAGGATTTCATTTTAAATTTCTTTCTCTGATCAGTTTTTCGTTTACTGATGTATTTATAAAAAATATTTTTATTATTTTGCCTCAGAAGTTTGTAAAAAATAAATGAAAATAAAATAAATAAAAGTGGGGTACAATGAACACATCGACAACTCTCCTTAAAATCAACCCTTTTTCAAAATTTATGTCCCAATTATTGCGAAATGCTTTCAGAATTAGTCAACAGATGATCGTTTCTTATTCTTATATATTCTGTTTAGTTTGTGGAAATCAGCTTTGATCATATATTTCAAGTGAAAGACTTAGTTTCAGTTCCTTGATATTGAAACAATATTCTCATCCTGTCTAAAGAATGTATTTTTTATTTTAATTTAAAAAAAACAGTAGCACCAATTTTGATTAACACGAGTGATGGTGTCTGTCATCCTTTCATTTTTATGTTTTTCACAAAGGCTACATCAGTCTGTAAACTAAACAATATTCAAACCTAAAACAAACAAAATTTACATTTACAATTTAAATACTGATGTCTAAATTTTATTTATATTTAAAAGAAAAAAAATCTTCAGTTGTTTTCATTACTAATCCTTCTCCTCCAATTCTTTTTCCCTCCCACCCCGTCTTTTTTTCCATGAAACTGAGAGTTGCGTTTTTCGGTTTCTCATATTTTTTGGTACGTTGCATAGTTTATTTTCCCCTTTCTTTTTCACTGTTAAAGTTTCTTTTTCATTTTTGCTTTCAATTATCGATTTGATGAGCCATTTTCCAGACAACTTTTATCCTATTAAAAATACCTCTCGTTTTTTTTTTTGTTTTAATTTCTAATGTTATATATTTTTAAAACGATCCTGTAGTGTAGCGTAACCTTGGTACCAGAATCCATGTTTTACACGCCTCTTGTTTTTTTCCTTCTTCTCCCCAACCAGCTTTTCTTTTTCTAGAATTATTCTGCAATTTTACTAGATTTCTCCCGTTTAATTTGTCATATTTTTCATTTTATTCCTCCATATGGGATCTTTGTTTTTATCTCTCTTGTACATGTTTTAACATGTTTTATTTATACAATCATAAAATTGACTCCTTGTGCTTGTGGGAGGAATGGTGGTTGTGGAGAGAAAGCCGGCCTTTTTTTCGTTCCAGTGGCTATTCCCATTTTTATCAACTCCCGATTTTACTGTTACATTTACCACGTTGTCCCCCAGATATTATACAATCGAATACAGGGGTGGGAAATAAGGTACATTTTTTTTTTTTTTTTTTCTGTACAGATCTCGATTTCTTGTAACAATACATTATATATATTATATATATATATATATAATTTCTACACAAATAAAAAAAAAATGTATGCGACGATGATCGCACTCCCTCTTGCCTTAATTAAGGCATTTCTTTTTACAAAAGTTTTTTTATTACATTTTTTTTAAAAAATGACATTCTCGAGTTACTTTAAGTTAGTAGTTTTTTTTGGTTTTTTTTATTTAAATTTACTTTATTTATTATTTCCTCTGTGAATTAAGTTAAAAAAAAAGTTAAAGATCTTTAAAGGGTATTTTTCACTTTAACAAGCAATAAAAAAAGAATAAGATTTTATTGCTTCTTAGATTAACTTTTCTTTTCTTTTTTTTTTTTTTTCTTTTAAATATTGTAGTGTACATATATATTTAAAAATCTGTTCTCCCAAAAACGTGTTGAATTTTTTTTCCTTGTAAAACCCATCATATTCATGGTTATGGACGAAAATAGCTGTCCTAATTTTTCTGAACTTTCGACTTCTTTCGAGGCCACGTGTTTTTAAAACTGTTTGGAGGGGGGGTACTTAGAAAAAAAAATCGGTAAATCTTATTAGAAATTTTCTACCTTCTCGATTAAAGTTAGAAAAAATCTTATTAGTCAATTAGTCGATTATTAAAATTATCTAAATAATAAAAAAATATTTTTGACGACAAAATTAAAAATGATCAAATTCAAAAAACTGAAATTTGAAAAAGTAACTTGTTTTTACACTTATTTTATTTTTATTTCATTTCATAAATTAAACAAATGCAAAAATATTTTTGTAAATGATTTTTAAAATATTTTTTGCAAAGGAATAAAATTGAAATTTATTATTAAATTTATTTCAAAATATTTGTATTACGTTGCCACAAAGATATATGCCCATAAAAAATCAAATTAGTTAAAAAAAAAAAAAAAAAACATTTTTTTTAATTTTAAGAACTTAAGTGCATGAAAATAAACTTAATTTTAGCTTAGATTCCTGTTCTAAGGCACTTTTTAAAATAAAATTGATGAACAAAATAAAAATTTACATAAAAAAACTTATAAAATAAAAGCAGTTTTTTAAAAAATTCTATCTGGCTGTTTTTGTCTTAAAATCTTTTTTAGGTGAGAAATAAAAAATGTGTAGTTTTAAATTTAAATATGAAAAAAGTGCATATATTTGAATTTGCCGGTGTTTCTTTTTTTACTCCTCCTATCTGAGATATATATCTCTTTGTACGTCTGTTTTTTTCTTTTTTAAAATCTTTTTTTTTTTTCGTCTAGTTTGACCCTCTTCTTAAAAATTGTTCAACTTTAAAAATGAAGTATTTCTGGCTCTACAAAAAGTAAAAACTAAAAAAAAGTAATTTCGTTGTAGGTCTTTACTTAATTGAATTGTGTCATAATCTTCATTTAATGTTAATTAGTGCTCGATTTTAAATTAAATCCTCTTTTTAAAATGTCATGGTTAATCTCGCGTCATTAAGTGTCCGAATTAGTATTTTTTTTTAATCATACTTTAAGGGTCATGTCAGTACTTTTTGTAAA